CCTGACATTATTTTACATTATTTTTTGTTTGTCTCCCCCACTAGAATGTAAGTTCCATGAGGACAGGACATTTTCTGTTTGTCCACGGCCCCCAAAGCCTACAGCAGTTTCTGGCACATCTTAACCTCTCTATGAACATTTGATGAATTAAACAAATGAAAAGACAAGACTCTTACTATGTTTGAATTATTCCCGGAATTTCTCCCATCCATTTTACTATCTAAAATTTTAGTCCCCTCCATAAAAATAAAAATTAGCTCTAGTTGTCATTGTTTACAACCTAGGGTTGGTTTATTTCACCAGTCTCTGTGCTCTCTGTGATTTCTTATATCCCAGTCATTCACTGTGTTTTCATGTTTATTTCCTTGCTGAAATGTGCCCCTTAGCAGACCTTTCAGTGGGGTTTTGGGGCAGTAAACTCTTAGCTTTTGTCCATCTGAAAACATATATCTCCCTTTCCTTGTGAGTGATATCATGGTCTCGATTCACTGTTTTCATTGCACAAACTGAAGACACCACTTATAACTTTCTAACATATTATTGTTGAGAGTTCTGGTCAAGATGGCAGAATAGATGGTCCCCAGCATCACTCTCTCCCACAAATCAATCAATTTACAACTATAAAAATGTATCAACAGCCAAGCTGGGGCTGCTGGAGCTCAGGGGAAGAGGAGGAGAGACCTACAGAGTGCATGAAGGTGGGAGAAGCCACCATGAGAGAAAGAAAAAACTGCTGGGAGAGTTTTGGGCCACAGCCGCTTTAAGGCTGGAATTGCTGAGCACACAGAGCAGGAGCCAGCAAAAGCCTCAGCTGTGCCCTTCAGATGGAGTTGCTTGGAGGTGGCAGGGGAGAAGAGGGCCTTGGTGGCCCCCAGGCCAGCAAGACTACTAATAGGGTTTCCACAGACCCACATAGGAGTGAGAAGCCAGAGCAACTGAAGAAAGGAGCCATTCAGAGGCCGGTGAGTCAGCGCAAGGGACCAGCAGAGGGCCCATCCCATGGGAAGTGTTTGGAGCATGGGTGGCGGGGGAGACAGGCCCACTGGGAGAACCCTGGGACACAGCAAGCTCAGCCGATCTGCCCCCCAATCAGTGCAGGACCACTCAGAGGAGACTGGCCAGGAATATAGAATTGCGTGGGGTGCAGTTTGATGAAAAGACTCAGGCCCAGATCAGAGTTTCTACACAACACAGGTGCACTGGGTCTCTGGAGAGCTGGAAGTACCTAGGAGGTCAACCATTAAAACCCGAGCTGCACAAAAAGACTTCCCTAGGGAAACAGCAGCAAAGCAGCAATTTAGCTCAACCACATAGCTCAAGTACTGGTCCCCACAGGAAGTTCCCCCATTTTAGAAGTAAGCAAAGGACAAAAAATTAGTTCTGGCTCAGGCACACCACCAGCAACTTGGGCCTGCCAGGGGACCTGAGGCATGGATCCAGGGACTGGACTCCCTGCCCACATCCAGGCACACTGCCAGCACCTCGGGATCCACCTGGGGGCCTGGGGCATGGATCTGGGGACTGGACCCCCTGCCCACAACCAGGCACACCACCAGGGCCTAGGAACATGACAAAAACATCACCTCCATGTGGGTGGCCCACCACAGCCACCACAGTAACCACAGCTGCCCTGAAAGTGGCTAGACGACACAACCACCACGCAGATGGTCTGCCAGCCACTGGAGTGCATTGACACAAGGAGAGTCACCAGCAGAGACCAAAGTAAAGAAGAGGACGTCTCTCTCCACAAAGCCCATTCCAAAGTGACAGAAGCAGCATCTGCTCTACGATTATATTAGGGGACCTGAACACACCTCTCAGCATTGGACAGATCATCTAGGCAACAAATCAACAAAATAACCATTACTCTTTCAGAGGAAGAGAAGAAATCTAGGGTTATCAGAGGGGGGGGAGGGAGGAGGGAGAGGGGGATGGGGAGAGATTGGACAAGGGGCATAAAGAATAAGTACAATTTGTAACAATATATATACTAGTAATATTGATTTGCTCAACATATATCAACATTGAATCCGAAAATATATAATCAATTACGATTCAATAATAAAATAAAATAAAATAAAAAATAAACCCTAACATACTATCGTTGAAGATGAATCTGCTTTCAGGATAATTGTTATTTCATTGTAAGTCATGTGTCCTTCCTTTCCAGAAATTTTGAAATTTTATCTTCACCTAGTTGGCGATTCACTTTGACCTTTCTAGATGCAAATGTATTGGTATTTATCTGGCCTAACACTCCTCACACATTTTCAAGAACAGAATATGTTCCAATTCTAGAAAATTCTCAGCCATAGTTTCCTGAAGTTAATATCTGGGTTCTCTACCATTACCTTTAGTTTCTCCTTATGGAATGTCTCTTAATCTCTTTTAAGTTCTCTTACACATTTAAAAATATCTTCTCTCTCTGCAGCATGAGCTCAGTGAATTCCTTAGCACTCTCTTCTGAATTAGTAAATGTCTCTTAGGTTGCATCCATCCACAATTCATTCAGGTCATATCATTTTTTCCTATCTTGGTGATTATATATTTCAGATTTCTTTGCAGATCCTAAAAATAATAATTAATAATTTAAATCTTGCCCTATTATTTGCATTTTTGCAGTTGAATTCATCGAGTTGATTTATTCTTTTCTGTTGATAATTTTCCTTATGTTAATGTTGGAGGTAGGGTCTAGGGGGGCCAAGAGTCGGCCTCAACCCACCCAGTCCTCTTACCAGGTTCTTGACTCCGCCAGAGGAAAGAATTCAAAGGCAGAGTCACAGAAGAAAGTGAGAACAAGTTTAATAAAATAGATAAATACAGGTTCCACAGAGAGAGCGCAGCATAGCTCCAGAGACTGAGAAGGGCCCACACCAAGTTTAACACAAAAGTAAGTTCAGTACAGGCATCAAGTCTAACACAAAGCAAGAAAAACATACTTAAAGTTCAGTATAAAGTGCAGGCTGGCTCAAGATAATGAGCATCTGCTTGCTGAAAGTAAGCTAGATAAAAAGTAAAACATACACGTCTCAGCCAGAGAAGTGCAGGTTGCCTCCAGGAAAAGTGAGCAGCAACCCTGCCTTCAGCTGGGATCCGGCTTTTATACTTTTTCTATCTAATGAATATTCAGTCGGGGGGGGGGTCCCAGTTGTATGCACCAGAATGTTCTGTGCTATTGAGCATGCCCTGCCACTAGATTGTATAAGTCAGACCCCTGTTGTCTCATTCCCCCCATGTTGGTGCTAAAAATAGGTCTAACTGGCAACAGTAACTTTCCTCCAAGGGAGAGCTCAGAGGAGTGGGCTTGAGACCTCAGGAAGTGGCTAGAAACCCAGAGGCATGTCCTGAAACCTGAGCCCAGGGAAACTGAGTACCTCCTGTATCAATGTGTCTCAGGAGTGTGATTTGCAGACTTCTCTTGCGAGGGTGCTCACATGCATTTTCCTCTTACCTCTCTATAGTCATTTACCATAATGACCTCTTTCTTATTCCGAGTCCAGAACCAGCCTTTTTTGGTGGTAGTGACATTGGAGGTACTGCAGGTGTAGACATGGCATCTGGCACCATTTGGTCTTTCTCCTGCCACCACACGTACGCTGCTTCATTTGCCATGTCCCACGGCATCCACTGCAACTATTTCAGTTGCTCTCACTGGCAGGGAGCCCCAGTCCAGCCCCTTCTCTCTGGCAGTGAGCCTGGCTTGGTTTCTTTCCATAATTGGAGCATGATTAGTTCCCTTCACCCTGTACAGTGATTCCTCTCGCTCACACCCTGCCACTCCCAGCCCTCACTGTATCTGTACTTTTGAAATTATATTTTATCTTTTTTTTCTGTTTGGAAATAGAGAGTAAATTCAAATTTTAAACTCCCTTAGACCGTTACCTATAGTCTTTACCACCGCCCTTTTCCAACAGTGGACTTCTTTCGGTCCTCTACTTGCTTGTATCCTGAAGCATTCAGCATAATTAACACTTCTATCCTGCTTTAATCAATAAACAAGTGTTGACTGTTACGTGCTAAGAGCTGGGCAGACTAAGTGTTAAAGAGATGTCCTGAAGCAAGTGACTTGTTAACGCAGATATATGATTAATGAGCCACATGAAAAGGTTGAGAAAGTTTCAAGCTGAGAGAAAACATGGGAAAGGCCTGGCTGAGAAAGAGCATGGCCTGAAAAGAACACAGAAAGTATTTTAGTCTGGCTGGAGGCTGGAATTCACGATACGTTGAGTCAAGAGATGAACTCAAGATGTAAGTTGGCACCAGGTCACTCAGGACTCTGTCAGCCACATTACAGATTTTGGATAGTATTCTGAGGCCACATATCTTGGTTTATGTGGCCACTAAAATGTTTTAAGAAGGGATTTCAGATGAGCAGATTTGTTTTTTAGGAAAAAAAAATTGCACTCACTGTAGAGCAAAAATTAACGCAGAGCAAATCCTGAAATATGAGAACAATTACTAGGTTATTAAAATAATTCATGAGAGTTCTCCACTAGGACTTCAACGGATGACAGAAAAACGGATGCATCCCAGAGATACTCAGCATGTACAACCAATGGGATGGGACAACTGAATCAATGTGGGGTCAAAGAGAGAGTGAGGTGTCTATGATGAGCTCAGGGTTCTGAGTGGGACGCTCTGTTCCTAAGCAGGAGAACACAGAGGAATGAGCAGGCATGGAGAGGCGAGACGGCATGCTGCATGTGAATTTGCACTGAATGAATTGTAAGGTATGGTGAGCCATCCAATTGGGGATGACTGAAGGTTCTCTGGAGCTCAGGAAAGAGATCCTAGTTCAAGACATAGAGGAGTAAGTGTTTTATCAAGATTTCTTCCTTAGGTATCACTGACGGGCTTCAATTCTTGAGTTTCTGAGATTGCATGCAAGTGTTTTGTGCATGTGAATGTTCAGACTTATTTTTCATTCTTTCCCTGCCTCCACCCACGTTAAATATGATGGCTGGATTTTGCAAGTGTCCTTCTACAACATGTACACACCAGACATAGAACTCTTTTATTAATCACTATTTTCATTTAAATTCACGTCCTATAAAAATTGAAACAGAAACACTAATAAATACAGTACTGCACATAGCAATCTTTTGTTAAATGCCCTATCATTTCATTGAAGAATGGTGATATCCACATTGGTGGTAATGAAGGGGGCAGGAAGTCTACAAAACCACAACAGAAAACACCAATACCATTTATTTCCACTACAAACTAAAAGGTAAGAGACTACTTACTTTACGTAAATACAAACATAGTTATGCTTTAGAACATCGTTTTTCTTTTTAACTTGCTTCACATAAGTGGTTTGCAATGCAACGAACTCTCCCCTTTATTCACAACCATAATCCCAACAAATACCATTAAAAGCAGTTTTACAAAAATTATTAATGTTAGACATAACCTCCATAATGCAACATGAGCTGACTTTAGAGCACCCTCAGAAAGAGTGAGAGATGCACCTTTTTCCCCTTAAAGTAAAATGAAATAAAGCCCTTTCCTAGACTCCTTCAGACACTGAGTCAGCACATTCTCACGGTGCAGCTTTAATCACCCTCTGTAACACAGAAAGACCAGCCCATCACGCCAGAGCACTCAGACAGGTAAAGCTATTTAACAGTTTCTAGGTAGATACCAATCCATCCAAAAACTTTATGTCTTTCTTTTTTTTTTTTTTTGGCTGATAAATTACTCATTTTTGGCAATTCTTTTTAGCATAATTTATTTAAATTTCTTCAAAATAGTGAGATCTTCTGTGTGAAGTGAAATGGTCATGTCATAGAGACTTACACCTTTAGTTTAATTTATCTCTGCTGCACATTAGCTTTTTATAGAGTCTCAAAGGACATGTTTTGATAAAAGCACTCATTAAACTTAAAATTCTGATTCCTGCCTATATTAAATAATTTACAAGACAGGATTTTTCTATTGCTATATTTTCTTCTATTCATTATCTGACTTGAGTAAAATAAGTGATAATACTCTTTCACAAAAATACAGGTATGAAGAGCAACTCAAGAGTTGGGGAAGCATTGATTGTGATATATAAATGGTACTTAAATTTTAAAATAGAAAATTTATATGTAGACATGAAACTGATACAAAAACATTCACCAGAAAGAACATTTTATCCATAAATCTAAATGCACTGATGTGGAGCACTGGTTGTCAGTAGAAAGGAAGTGTTTTTGCTGTGACAAGAAATATTCTCACAAAAGTAAATCTAAGGTTAATGTCTAGCATGTTCAGAATCAGTGCAGATGCTGTTTTGGTCTGTCGGTAAATACCATAAACTTTTTACAAAAAGAAAATGTGTCAAAACCCCCACTGGCCTACCGCTTTTGCATTATTATGTGAATATACAGTAAAATTCATCAGTCAGTGAACTGACTAGAAAACACAAAGATTATGAGAAGGTCAAGAAGAAAAATGATCAGAATGATAGAGTTTCCTTCCCACCCTCAGGACAGCTGGATTTTGCGGAAGTGGCTGCAATGACTCATTTTCATCCTGCTTTTCATTGTTCAGGTTTCATGCTTATCTTTGCTTTCTGAAAATAAACACAGCAGATGAGAGTTACAGTTAGAAAGAAGAACTTTAAAAAAGGAAGACGTTTAGAGCAGCGGGAAATGGTCAAAGTTCTACCAACTCATAAAGGAAAAAATACAAGTAGAATCTGTTTTATCTTTTCAAATTTTTATTCAGAAAAAACATCAAATATTTTTGAGGGAAGAAAAGTTTTTAAAATTTAACTTCTAAGAGACACAAAAGAGTGCAGCTCACCCTTCTCACGGTCAGTCCTGTGTGCAAACACATGAACGTGGAACTGCATCCGCTGCTGCGTTTCGTGCCAATCACTTTAATTCTTCCTCTGTGCCTGTAATGACATGGTGGTGGTGAACTAATAATTGTCCTTCCTCATTCAATACAGTTTTAGGATTGAACTTTAATCAGAAAAGAGCAAAAAATATACTGAACCATAATAGGGTATTGTCATTAGATAAGATTAATTTTGATACTGAGAAACTGAAGGGAAAATAGCTTTTAAATGAAGATATAATTCCTAACTTTCTCTAAATAGGGCTATTTAATCATATCTCAATTTGGATTATTTTAAAATCTTTTCTATTTAGACTACATCAGACTAACGTAATACAAAATGCTCCTACTTTAAGGCCTAACTCAACTCTGCATATAAAACAGGACCATTTGCTTACACTGTGGTACCAAGTTATGATCCCTCCAAACATTCAACAAAACATCTACCGTATCATAAAACCTTGTCCTTTTAACCAAGGCTTTCCCTCCCAGGGTGTACACCTTCATGTTTTATTTTAAAGCAGGAAATTTAGATTAGCTTGTCACCCTCAGTCTATGGACTGACAACTGTCCAGCAGCCAACTTTATAGAGCCATTTGTGGATATGAACTGGGTCTGAGCACCCTGGGCAAAGCACTACACCACACTTGGCATTTCCCACTATGCTTTAGATCCCAGTGGAGCTAATGCGATTATAATAGCCCTGTGCCAGGCTCCATGTGCAATGAAGAAAGTGACAGATGGTCGCCTGTCTCCACCCTGCCAACACACACATATCCACACCCTTAGTTGATTGATTTTAATTCTTAAGTGTCAAATACTGAATATTAGGATTCTCTCAGCCTTTTGGGCCTGATTAAAGGCATAAGAAAATAGACATTCTTGAAGTCAGAAGCTCATTATTCATCCAAACTTAAAGTAATTAAAATATTATTACATGAGTTTGTATATATTATGAAAACAGGTTTAACAACCAAAGCAAACAAGTTAAAAACCAGAAAAATTAAACACTTACAATTCCAGAGTCATGTCTTGGTTTTATTTTATAAAGTGATTTTCCCTTTTTCTGCCTACACACCTGTTCTTCATCTTTTACTCTGAGTGAGAATGAGATACATGTATTTAAACAAAACCCACACAGATAACCACAGTCTACCTTATAACAGGTGAGCAAGCCTCACCACATTAAGGATTTGAATTATTGGAGAAAATAATACCACATACACAGGAATGTTATGTGATACTTGATTTAAGAGAATAGACTATTAGAGCTATAGAGGCTTATTCATCCTGGGGTTCTTAATGTGGAATCAAAGAATGACTAAATGAAATAGGAAACAAACACATGAGTATTTTTGTGCAGGAGATGTATACATCATTCTACATTAAAGGAATTTTATGTATAATAAAGAAATACCCCCCATTTTCATATGATGTCTTATAGGAGAGAGACCCATAAGCAAGTAAACGACAGTGATGCCTTACGGGCAGCCACCTAGGTTTGCACAGGGACAACTGTGTCCATTCTACATTAAAGGAATTTTATGTATAATAAAGAAATACCCCCCATTTTCATATGATGTCTAATAGGAGAGAGACCCATAAGCAAGTAAACGACAGTGATGCCTTACGGGCAGCCACCTAGGTTTGCACAGGGACAACTGTGTCCGAGGAGGCTCCTGGGTTTGGAGGGCAGGGGTTATGGAAACCTTCCTGGAGCAGGTGGATAGCTGAACCTAACAGACAGATCTTAACCAGTCAGCCTTTCTGGAAAGGGGAAATGGGACTGAGAAGAGGAGGAAGACAACACACAGAAGAACATGTGCAAAGGCTGAGTGAGAGTCAAGGAACCCCACGCTGAGCTTCCAGAACCATGCAGGCCCCCTGGTGCTGCCATGGGATCCCCACGCTACTGGAGGTGGAAGTCATGCTGGCTTTCTGTTTTATGCCTCAGCTTCCTACGCGCATGACTAGGGTGTCAGTCACCTCATCCTAAGCACCTCCACATAGGCACACATAAGTGACTTACGGAGCCGGGAAACTGAGCACCAGAACCTTGAATAGTTGTTCTAATTTAGGAGAAGATTCATGGAGAATTTGCTAAAACACAGCTCTCCAGGCCCACCCACATATTCTGATTTAGTCCCTGTGGATGCACTTAGAAGCAGCACCCAGGAGAATCTGATGGAAGTGGCCTATGAGCACCCGCGTAAGCAACAGTGTCCCACACTCCCTGAAGCCCCAGCTGGGTAGCCAGACTGACCCCCGAGATGACAATGCTTCCTCACCCCTCATGACCTTACCTAATCACAAACCCAAACCATGTACACCTGCTCTGTCCAGCACTCTGTGAGTCCCTCCTCTCCTAAGATTCCTGGCACATGCTGCCTCTTCCAAACGCCAATTTTATTTTGGCAAAACTCTGACAACAAGAAATTTTCTCCACAGTTTAGGCAGGAAAAAAGAATGTGTCTCTGGAGGTTGAATACATTGCCAGAGTTGGCAGAAATAAGAAAAATAATGAGGGAGGAGTCAGTACGGAGAGAGCCTGGGCCAGCTGTCGATAGCAGCGTCTCCCTACTTCGGCTCAGCATGTGGGCTGTCGTGGTGGATTTCATCAGCTGCAATAGTAGCTCTGTTGAGTAACTGCTTGTACAGGTTCCTTCCTCTTTCTGTCCTGCTTCACTCCTCATTCAGTAATGCTGAACATTTCTTTTTTTTTTTTTTTTTTGTCTTTTTTCCGT